CTTCTCAAAGTCAACATCATTAACACGGTCCACCCGACGACCCAAAGCCCGCCGAATAATCCAGTCCTTGCTATTGATTTCCTCTTCACTCTGACCATCCTCCATAACAGGAATACGATCGGATCCCTCCAACCGACGCAACATCACACTATCTTCGGGTCGTGCAAAGTACACGAGACTGTACCGCGTCGACTCAGCCTGGAGCCCCGGTGGTGCCACAACCCGGTGAATGTTCGACCGAAACAGTCCATTCGTAAACTTGACCATTGCATCCCCAAGGTTTACAATAGCATGACCAGGAAGTGGTCTGACATAGACCCATTCAGCATCAGCACCGGGCGGTAGCACTTGCAGTCCGCCCAATCGATTGAAGAGAACTGTCACACTTCCAAAGTCGGTGTGCTGGCCCAGCGCGGTACGTCTGTCGTCTACTGGCTGTGGTGGGGCTTTGACGAACCGCACCTGGTCACCGCTTACAGCTTGTTGTCGGTGCAGATTGGATAGCGTGTCTCTTGGTAGGGCAAGTTGGTCATTCAGGGTCTCTAGGATTAGGGTTACGAGTGCATGTGAACCCCGCATGAAGGATGCCAGTCTGGGTCGGCTTTTATGCAGGATCTCTGGTGCTGGTAGAGGATCACTGACGCCCAAAATATCGTCTTTCGAAACCTGTAGATAGCCGGGTCAGCTGCTGTGAAGGTCCAGGTGCATGCGGGGACGTACATTGTAGAACTCGTTCCGGTCTAGATTCCCCTGCTTGTCAACCACCGCAGCTCCCTGCGCTTTGTATCCAAAGTACGAATTCTGTTCGCTGAAATCATATTGTTGTTTCTCCTCGAGGCTCAGCTCAAATAGTCTCTCGCCGATTTGGAACAGATTATCTGCGTCGTTGAGGAGGGACAAGCCTTGCTCTGAGTCAGATAGATCCAGATAGAAGAATCCAATGTCGGTAGAGGCTTGAAACAGTCTTTTGTGCTCTGTTGGGTCACCTGCTAGTAGCTTTCCTGCCGACAGTCGAAGAAGGGGTGCTGTAGGGACATCATCTGGGAAGGGTGCAAGCCCTGGGAAGTTGTTGGGGATGTCCTTTTGATCGGTCTGAGACTGCATGTTGGTATAAGCAATTCAAGGGACTCAACAGTATATAATAGCTGTCTGAAAGTGCCTTGCAGGGAATTTGTCACACTTTTAGCACGTGGGAAGGGTGGTGGCTCTGTAATATACCTACAGGTTTCCAATGTCACACTCAAAATGATATATGCGGGGAAGCATCGAAGAGCCGAGGGACAATCTAAGCCTACCTAGGTAACATTAGATTGAGAGAATGGAATGTACAAGACTAGATCTGAATGTAGGAAATAGAAAATTAGACCTGGATCATGTCTAAATAATGCATAGTTATGCCATGCTTTTTGGTCTATAGATGGCCTATCTTATCGGTGTGTGACATCAAATAATTTTTCTCCAACTTCCAACTACCACACTTTCCCAAGAACCCCCAACTCCTAGTCTGCAATCCCCTGGAAAGCCACACGAGCATCTAAGATAACACAATGGCCTCCTCTCCAGCCCCAAAAACCCACATCGCGCACACCCTTCTCTCACGCGCCCACTCCCCAGACAGCGCAACGCAACAATTCACCGAGCGCATCAAACAAAAGCCACTCTTCCTCCGCGCAACCTCTCCCTCAGCGTCCGACAACCGCTCCCGGCGTCGCCTCCATCGTCTACGCAAGAAAGAATACTTCCTCCGACACCAGAAGCCGCGACCGCTTTCAGCGCGCGAAAAGCGCAAGTCCGGGCTATACGACCTGCCCAAGGAAGAATGCAAATACGCCATTTTCAAGGGCCTGCATGAGCTGTGGATCGGGTATATGCAAGAGATCCTGGATGTGAAAGCCGGACCACATGGCCATGTTTCGCCGGCCTCGCATGGAAGTAAGCTTGTCAGTGCGGACTACCACGGGGCTGAGGTCGAGGTTGTGAGGAGTCGGTGTGCTGGGAGGGTTGGTGCTAAGGGTATTGTGGTGCGGGATACAAAGTTTACGTTCGTCATTGTTACTGAGAAGGATGAGATGAAGAGTGAGTCTTGACTTTTGGAGTGGGAGGTGTGCTACCGTGATTTTGCTGACTTGGTTCTGTTTGTAAAGCTATACCGAAGGAACATACTATCTTCCGGTTTACGGTGCCTGTGCCAACGACGTCTGAGGGCGCACGAGATCAGCAGACTCAATCTGATGCAGAAGCCCCAATGCCGTTGGTTTTCGAGCTGCATGGAAACCAGTTCGAGAATCGGCCTGTGGACAGAGCTAATAAGAAGTTTAAGTGGAGGAACATCGATTACATTTGAGAAGATAGTCATCTGTTCGTTTCCTCTCGGTTTAATACCGATCCAGTTGACCGCTCACCCGTGAAGCGGCCTCGAGCAGTGCAAGTGCACTCCTTGCATAGACGCTGATGCTGCTGAGACTCCTTGAGATGCGAGATTCATAGCCATACTTTGCGGGGGCACGGGTACGCCGGTATTCTATGAAGCTAGACTTGTTCTCGTTTCACCAATCCAACTATATGATATCACGAGCATAAAGTTTCAGCTCGAATAATCCGTGAAGTGTCAATTGGATAACGATGTTTATGAAATTTACCCCCCATCCCCCATAGGTTAGCTAGATGTTTTTGACCAACGTCTTTAACAGGCGAAGCTTATTGATAATGTAACATGATACTACAGATTCACCAGGACCATCAGTGTAAGGTGTAGATGTCATTTGATGAAGAGCTTTTTTGGCGAGTGGCATCACGGTCATAAGATACGCTATTTTGAGTAGGGCAATGCATGGATAGGCAACAGACAGGACGACTCTTCTTAACCACATACTGTTTGCCGTTGCAAGCCTCTAACCTGAGTCGCAAGAAGCCCACCAACGCCAATAGGGCCAAATTCCCCCAGTCAAATAGCAGCTTGCAGATCTTCTGGTCCATCTCCTACCAGAACAGTCTGGGAAAGGCATGCGCTCTTGCGCCCCGGCCGACTTTGAGGAAGGCCGTTGTCGTATTCTCATAGCTACTGCCAATCATTTTTCTGTTTATTTGTTTTAATCTTGCCCGTCACCATTCGGGTACTGATATGCGGCACAAATACGCACATCAGTTCCCACATCAAAACGAACCAGCGGAAGGATATCATTGGGAGTAGGTATGAGAATCCAACGAAGTCGACCGGGCGCAAGGACGCATGCCTTACTCAAGGAGGCGAAGTGATGGTAGATCACCTTTGGGCCGGGGATATCATCTGTATCTTCGTTGATCGAGGATGATCAAAATTACCAGCGACATGTTTCTTCTTGCCTAGTTTCAATGAGACCAGGCACAGTAGAGAGTCGTGCATCTGTTTCGAGAAACCGGAAGGCAGACACGACCCCGTAGCGTGGTGCATGAGGCATGGAGTCATTCCAAGGGCAAATCAAAGGCATAAGCCTGATAGATTGGAAATCAAAACAAATGAAGGATGTGGAACCCTTCGCGTCCTTCATCCCTCACATTCCAGCCCATTCAAGACTGAAAGCACGCACAGTATCCACACGATCAGCCTCCGAATCGACCTCATCAATTCCCTTCTGTGATCCGCCGATCAAGAAACCTTTCTTCACACCAGTGCCCAGTCTGCCACCGGCAACAAGATCCATGATGTCGATATTTTGGTCCCAGTCGTAGGAAACCACGAGGAAGTGCGAGTGGAAACGCAGCGGATCACCCGGGTAGGCCATATACTGGCACCCGAAGCGCAGGCCAGGAGAGAGGAAGTATCCTTTGGAGTGGAGGTGGGCGAAGAGGGGATAAGAGGGTGGCACCGCGGGTGCTGAAAGATGGCTCGATGATGGAGGTGTGGGAAGGGGCGGGTAAGATGTTGCGGGGGTAATGGCCATTGCGCTCTGAGGGGGTATGCTCGTCGAGGCTGTCGGTGGAGACGATGAGCGATCCTCTGCGTTGAAGAGGTCAACGACGGCAGCGTTCTTGGGCGACGGGATGGAAGTGCCCTCCTCGGGGACCGTAGGCGTCTGGGCGGCGGCAGCACTGGCTTCGGCTTTGGCCTTGGCCTTTGCTTTCTTTTCTTCTAATTTCTTCAAGGTTTGTTCCCGGTTGCGCTCTTTGCGATCTGATTGGATGCGCGAGACATGCAGGCCTTGGGATTCGAGGTCGCGGAGGTACCGCCTGCGATCCTCTTCTAAGAGGGTGTTCATGCCATCGTGTGCCTTGGCTTCGTCTACGATGCAAGCTACACCCTTGTCCACTAACAGGCGTGCCTCCTCAGGCATCAGCTCCAATGGGAGACCCAGGAAGACATTCTGCTGAGGGATCTGGGGCAGCGTCCCGATGAGCACACCGCAGATGTGATGCTCACGTCGCAGGTATGTCACGGCGTCAATTGAGAACAACAGGTATCTACCGGATACATAGGAAATCGGAATAGGAAGTTCTGGTTGGAAGTCCATTTTTTTTTTCTTTCTGATTTGAGATTTGTGGGATTTTTTTTTTAACGATTCTGTGGCAAGGACAGTTAGCGCTCGTCCAATATGCAAAGATGCAGGTTGCCAGCAAGGTAAATTTGGGTATCGCGAATCATTTTCCAGTACGTTTCTCAGCAAGCACTCAGTGACGTATCAAAGAGCTTCAGGGGATTGACAGATTTGTATTTAAATAATCATGCGAAGTGGGCGTTGTAGGGGAGATTGAGGGTGAAGCTTACCATTAAAGAAGTATTAGAGTGTCGAGAACACAATCAGACACCCAGAATTGCTTCAGATTTGACCAGCAAAGCCAGGGTCGATTGCAGAGAGAAGAAAAAAAAAGAAGAGCAAAAAAAAAGAAGAGAAGGAAATGCCGAGCTTATGCGCTAGGCCCCTTTAGGAATAGTCATCTTGGCAGGCGAACTGCTGAGTTGTTTATCATCGTCTTCATTGGCATTCGTTGAGTATTCTATATTTCTTCTTTTATACTGAGGCATCATGGGCTTCCTACTACTGCTGTTCCTGGTGTTCTTTGCACCCCTGCTACTCTTTGTCGGTCAGTATCGCGCCGCATCCTTTCTTAACTAGCCCCGACCGCATTACTAACACCGAACAGCATGGCTTGCAGCTTCATCCTGCCTGGGAAATCGCCTTCGTTCTGTGCGACCAGGATTGGACGGATATGGAGCGAGTTACCTCCGCACAATGGCCAATTCAGGACCTGCTATGTCCGAGCAGATCGAGATGGAAGATATGCTATCAGAACCAGGGACCCAACGACACTTCGAGGAGGACGATTGAGTCTAGGGAATCACACCAATCATCGATTGTCTCAAAATTCGAGATCCGATTTCTTGGGCATTCCGCCTGGAACCGACGCCTCTTGCGCTTCTGTGTCTCCTTCGGCCGGTGGCAGACTGAACGGTTTGATCTCGAATCGCCGGCGGCTTAGAATAAACGCCCAATCTTGTCCGACATTCTGATCGCTTCCACCCCCACGCTCGTGCAAAACTGGAAGCCGATGCGTCTTGAGCATACCCTGCGGTGGTTCTTCTTGTGAGGTAGCCGCTCCCGAGGTAGCCATGGCATCAGCAGAGTGCGGGAAAGGACAAAGCTCAATGACACCGTCACTGAGCAGTTCGATCCAGCGAACCAGCCCCGATGAGCGGGGATAGAGAGACAGAGGCACCGTGATCATCGCGGTCACCCGAGTGGTATGCGCGCTCATCAGTGCCTTAAGGGCGTGGAAGAACTGGAGTACATGTTCGGGTTGGGAGGCGTTCGGCGGGTAAATTGTGGGGTTGAGCAGAGAAGGAATGACGATTCGGTGGATTGTATTGGCGGCGCTGGATGTAATTGCGGTCTGGAGTCGTTTAAGGATAGCGAGGAATGGTGACTCTTTTGAGGGCATAAGTGGGATGAAGGACATGTTTGTGATAGACGGATGGGTGAGACGTTTCGTGAGATCGAAGGCATGACAGAAAGCGGGCGCTTCTTTTGCTGCTGTATCCTGTTCCCCAGGATTAGTAGGGGCTATATTGATCAGCATATTGAAGCTGGAAGCATTGTTTTGTTTCAATACTCACCACCCCGCGAACCAGCGACTGCCCCAAACTCGCCCAATCGCTCGTATCGCCATGCAATTTTCATGCGATCATCCTTGCGCTTGTCGGATCTCTTCTCGTCCAGGGACTCCGCTGAGCCAATCAGACCAGGCAAACTTCGGCCCCATTGCTCTGGCACTCCAACCACATGGACCTTCTGCTCTTGGATTACGCCCTCCGCCGCATAGTAACGCAGCAATGAGCCCGCAAAATCCGTAGTTCCGTTTTCTTCAATCAACAAGAGTTTTCCCATTGGAAGCCCCGCATGGCCTGCGAGAAGATTATCTAGAGAGCGAGTCCCTGTCGAGGTTGTTGGCCGTCCATCATCGGGGGAGGGGCGGATGCCCGGCGTGCTTTCTGGCGCAGCGGGCTGCGCGGTAGCATTGGGAACAGCGTTGCGGTCAACTCCAGGAGAAAGACCGATGTTTCGCTTGCGAAAGGACATGGCGGAAAAGTTCAAATCGCGTAAACAATGTAGTAAAGCTGTAAAAGAGCTGATGTCAAACCAACGGAATCGTTATCGGCGGGACCAAAAAGGCGGCAGAAAAAAAAGCTTCAATTCTCCGATCAACCTCTCCACCTCCGACTCCAACTGTTCTCTTCACCACTCTTGAACCACCAACCAGCCATTGCGAGCTTTCGAACCTACGATAACTCGTGTGCGATTATCTGCGCATAAACCGCTCTACCGAATTGCCCGTCAATAGACCGAAAAGCCAGCGGTCACAACCTTCATCATGTCCGACCCGCTCCTCTTCGAAGATACCTTCACGATCACCTCGATCAACGCCCAGAAGTATGACCGCGTCTCCCGTCTTACTTGCAACTCCAACGATGCCTCCCTCACTTTCACCCTGGACGTGAACACTGAACTGTACCCATGCGCGGTCGGCGAGTCGGTCTCGCTCGCTCTGGCCTCGACTCTCTCTCTTGACGGCAAGGAGGACACCCGCGCCAGCTGGAGGGAGGTCAGCATGGGTGAACAGACCCTGGCGGATGACTACGATTATGTTTGCCACGGCAAGGTATACCGCTTTGAGGAGGGTGCCACTAAGGATACCATGTGAGTTTCGTTACCGATGTATGGGTTCTTGCTGAAACTAATGTATACATTTTCAGGGCTGTCTTCGTGTCCTTCGGAGGTCTGCTACTCTACCTGGAGGGGCCCTACAAGAAGCTTGCTCCGTTGAGAATCGATCACGTGTACTTGTTGCTTAAGAAATAAGGTCTCAATTTTTGCTTACGACCTTGGCGCGGGATCAGATGGATCTTGGATTGATCTTGAGGCAAAGCCTAAAAGGGGGAAAAGTCTGTGTATTTAAGCCGGACCGATGTTCATATCGTTCTTATGGGGTGCAGCGCAGGCGTTCTTTGCATTTTGATTTGGGAATACCAATAGATTATCATAACAAATGTGATTTTCATGGGATCAATGAGATGAACCTTTGCCGTTCGATATCCAAAACAAATCTCGGGCGGGTTAACTCCCCATATAGCTGTAATTGCGGATGGCAGTCGCACTGTGCGCCTCGAAGACTCAAAATCCCTGATCCAACTCTAGTGGCCAATTTCCATTCTTGTTTGCCCTTATAGCAGATGGCAGTGCGGTTGTCACCGTACTCCCATCGAATCATTTGCTATATGGGGGTTGCAAGTCTTGCAGATACTGCTTTGATTTTGCAAATGGGAAGGAATCCAAGCAGATTTGAAAGCGAAGTTAATTTGATAGATCTTATGTTCACGATATCTAACCTATGTCTCCGGTTATGAAACAGATAACCTAACCCACGTAATGCGAAGCAGTCGGGTACTCCAAGCGACGATGCAATCTAGCAACAATCTGCAAGAAATCCGGCTCATTTTCTGGCGTCAGCAGCCCATGCCTCACGAAGAAATCAATCATGATATTAGCACAATTGGGCTTGAACTCGCCGCGCGCCAAAGCCGTCTGCACCTCTGGAATGGACAGCAACTTGAATTCCTCGACCTCATTATCCCCAGGTTTCGGAATAATCCCCGGGTCAAGCCTGAGTTCGTATACATATTCAACCTCCGGCTGAATGAGGCCCGTCTCGCCGCCCGCGCGCACATCCCGCACATGTGAGTACGTAACACAGCCCACGGAGACAGTTCCAGCGCGCACCACCGCCTCAGGCAAGGATGCCTCTTCCATAGCTTCACGGACGATACACTCAAACGGCATCTCGCCGGTGCACATGCCGCCGGCAACGGTGTTATCAAGGAGGCTTGGGTAGGTTTGCTTGTTTTTCGCGCGGCGTGGTACCCAGATCTTGATTCCGGATTCGTCCTGCACATAGCCTGTTAGATGGGCGCCGTAGGAGACGATGCCGAAAAGTGGGGTTGCGGCGCGCTCCATCTCGAGGAGGAATTCTCCGCCCGGGCCGTAGACAGCGTAGTTCTCGTTGCGCCAGCCTTGCAGCAATTCGAATTTACCTTGCCTCACAGCTTCGGCTATGTCTGTGGCGACGAGCTTGCTCCGGTATGCGGGGGTGACTCCCTCTGGTGTCACTAGTGTCACGGTCTGCGCGGTCGAGTCGATGGCCCAGCTTTTTTCCGACCAGGGGAATTTCTGTACGACTGCATTTAGGATATAGCCGAGTGTACAGTCGTATCCGGATACTTTGAATGCATGGTAGTGGTTCAGGTTCGCCGTGTATGCGGCGCGATCATCCTCGTAGTAGGGGAAGCTGAGGGGTGTAAGACGAAAACACGAGTGGACGGGGCAATCAAGATAGGACAGCTTTACTTATCGCATTCACCGACCAGATCTAAATTGGATTTGCCCATGATGCCTTCTGAATGCAGAAGCTGATCCCAATTGTGAAGTCGAAGTCGAGAGGTGATATACCAGACCTTTGTTTAGCCAAGCCCAACCCTTATCGACCGCCGATAAGGGCAGCCCCTCTTATGTCATTTCATCATCGAAAAACAGGACAAAAAGAAGCTTGAAGAAGCTTAAAGAACTGGACAAAGAATCTTTAACGCAGCTCACATTTCCAATCTCTGCTCCACCAGCTGCTCAAGCTGCCTCCAGCTCGTCCAACCCCCTACCACCACATATCATGTTCTCCGTCGTGGTCCCAGGCCGCCCGTGCCTAACAGACATCGTCGCAATAGACAGTCAACCGAACGGCCAAGCAACCAAATTCGCCTTCACAATCCCACTCAGCCCATCCCTCAGTGATATAGTCGTCTTCCTCCTACCAGGAACAACCCTCCCACCAAATACCGGTGCCGCAATCTACGCCCAACTCCCAGACCCGAATAGCGGCCATCCCTCCGACTTCCGCTTCATCGGCGCATTGGCAAACGAAAAGCCCTCAGGCATCTTCACCGTGCGCCCACCGGGTGCGTCAGCGCACCGCTCAGAAGCCGAGGAAGAAGACGACATGCTCGACGAGGGCGGTGCTGCAGGTGTCATGACACTGGGAATTTCAATCGAAGATGCGCAGAATATCGCGCCACAGCTTGCTGCGCTGGAAGCGCAGCGCCCCTCGGGTCAGATGTCTATGGCGCTGGTTCCGCAGGCTGCGGCGCAGAGGCGGGTCTCGACGAAGGTGCTGGCGCAGCGCATTATTGGCAATGCGTTTAATTTCCTCGCTAGCTTTGCGCAGAATGAAAAGGGACAGGATGTTGTGCCGCTGAAGAGCTTCCATAATTGGTGGGCGAAGTTTGAGCGCCGCATTGAGGCTGATCCTTCGTTCTTGGAACGTGAGGATCCTACTGCTAATGTGTGATCTGTGAGATCTGTGCTCTATAGTATTTGGGCATTGGGATGGCAGATCTTTAGTTGATTGGCCAGGGCTTCTTTTGAGATTGCATTTGTTCTAGACTCGCTCTCAGCGGGTGTGCAGCAAGGAGTACATGACATCTCTTACATGTATTGGTTAACGAGTCTCCTTTTTGACGTGTGACGATATTCTGCTTTTCTCTGTGACCTTGAAGTTTATGTCATGTATTAACAGGACTATTTCGACTCTTAATTGATAATAAGACTTAGGAAAAGCTGAAAATGTATTACCACTCCCATTGAAATATAGAACATGAATGAACGCATTTGTATCGATATCATCTATATACCCGTCAGAAAAAAGTTATATATACAATCCTGGACCATATCCGGTTATTCGCAGGTACAATAGATACATAGCAACATTGACACAAGAAATCCAATACAACGCCAGTCCCAGTTCCTCGATGCACTCCACCTCGCGCCAGCCATAAAACCCAAAAGGAAAACCAAACTAAGAAACAAAAATTAAAAAAAAAAGTAATCAACATGCAGTTGATCCCCGCGAGATATTCTGCAACGACGCATCAGGTCTCAATCGAATACCCGGCGCATAGCAAAGACTATACAACTCATCAACGTAAGTCGCAGGCGTAGTCTCACCACCACCGACAACAACCGCCCTCGAGTCCCGGGTACCGATATTATTCTGATTTGTATCATGGAGGCTGGTATAATCAACGCGCACCTCCTTTCGAACGGTGATATCCCGCAACGCAGTGGCAGTATGATCCACAATAGACTCCTGGGAGTATCCCGAGACGGAGCCTGAGTTCGAAGCCGGCCTGCTCTTGCGCGACGGCCACAGACGCAGGATGGCCATTTTAGTCGTGGAAGCGACATCGGCCTCGCTGGCGGTCGAGCCCGACCGCACGTCTGTGCAGAAGAGTTCTTGACCCAGTTCGCGGGCGAAGTCGTCGCGGTCCGCGAGGGCTTCGTTTACTTGTTGCTGGACGCGGAAGAGACGGAAAGGTGTGAAGGTGTAGTCTGGGTTGGAGATTTGGGTGTCAAGTGTGCCGACAACGCAGAAGCTTAGGAGGGTGCAGTTGTTTTGCATGGCTGTTTCGGGGTTGGAGGGGCTTCTGCGGCAGGGGGCTGTTAATGGGCGGGGGGAGAGTTTCGCTGCCATGCGCATGTCTTCTGGGATGGTTTTCGAGAGGGAAATGATGGATTTGGTGAGATGGGTGCGGAAGTCGGCTAGGTTAGGGAAGGCTTGCGCTGCGCCGGCGGACTGGAGATATCGTATGCATACATCCATGGACCAGCCTTCCATGCGGGAGATGAGTTCTAGGTGGTGGACTTGGAGTTGTTTCATTGGGAGGGTTGCGGATGGGAGGGGGTTGCCGACGCCCTTTGCGGTGAGGATCTCGAAGTGATCGTGGATTGTTGGGCGCATCATGAATGAGACGAGGTGTACTCCCTCATCGAAGCCGCGATTCGAGCTCGCGTAGTCGCGCATATCGCGGAGTGAGTTGGCGAGATTTACTTCGGGGACGTGGATGCGTCGGGAAAGCATTCCTGTGATATGCTCAATGGTTGCGAAGCGGTATCCCTGCGATCCCAGGCGTACTGCTTCGTTCTTTTGTAGCTGGCGAACAGTGAACATCATTTGGCCCTTGCCGGTGCGCAGGGACGAACGGCCCATGGCTCGAGAAAGTCGCGAGATGGGAATAGCAGTAGAGAGAACATCGTCGTAGAGTGTACCTAGATCCTGGAGAGGCAGAGAAAGTTGATCTGAGAGCTCTTGGGCCGTGACACAGAACAGTTGCTTGAACAGGGTATCAAAGTCAGTTTGCAACTCCGTATCCTTGTCCATGATCACTCCTCGGGATAGCATGTGTTTCTCAATGGCGCTTTCTTCGGAATCAAGGCGGTTTCGCATGAAGGGAACCAGGTCCTTCACGACAGGCCAGTTCCGAGTCGCCCTAAAGGCCCACAGGAATGTAGGGTGGGTGCGGGTGAGGTCGTCATCTTTGAACGTCTAGTCCGCAATTCGTTAGTCAAGACACCTGCTATATTCTGGTGGGAGAGACATACCCGTCCGATATAATGATCTACAATCTTCCTTGTAGGAAGCAAAGCCTGCGGCGTAACCATGATTCGTCCAGTATGATCAAAGTAGGCACAGGCGAGAACAAGCTGATGGGCGCGTGTCGTCGACTTTCTGCGATTTCGCCCAGCGAGAATAGCACACATCGACAAGATCAGGCATGCAACACAGGCCTAGACAGCTGTCAGTCTCCAGACTCCCATACCTTCAAAGAAATCTCCAACATACCAGCACAGTGCAGACAATAACAACCTGACTCCTCGACAACTGAGTTCCATGCATGTCCATGCGGTTGCGATCCCGATAGATTGTTCCAGCAGCTGCAGTCCAATGCATGCCCGACACAGCACTGGCCAATAAGCAAGCACAAATTCCTCGTCTCCACCAGCTATCAGTCCAGGTAGCCCTCCAGCGGAAGAAGATGCCCAGGGCAGCGGTACTGGAGAAAATAGCAATGATCGCAGAGCCAACGACGTTGGCGACATGGTAAGAGCACCTATAGTTCGAGATTCCGAGTTGACCGATGTAGTGCATAGCGCAGACAGCGCTACCAGTGAGCAAGCCTCCGACGAGGATGCGAATATAGCCTGCCTTCTCCTCGACACCCACGGCGTAGAAGGCAAAGAGCAGCACTACCACAGGGAGCACGAAGGAGGTACCCGTGAAGGCGACATTATACATGGCTTGCACCTCCGCCTCGCCTTCGCCCAGGACGATGGCGCGATTACCGATAAAGTGCATACACCAAATTCCTATGCCGCCCATTGTGATTGATGAAGTTAGGAGAAGGTACCTTGTAATTTTTCGTGTTAGCTACATGATTGAATTTTGAAGTAGGTAAAGGTAGGACAATTTTGTAGGGCATACCAGTTGTATAGACCTGACCTCGATGTCCGCCGGTGGAGCAGCTCCAATGTGGTTGTGCATCCCATTGCACTAATCACGTAAGAGAGGATAATGTACCCTGCCAGGTATCTGACACGCACGAGCGGTTCATGGTCTGTCGTCGACATTGTGAAAGAAAGAAAGAAATGGGTGGGTGTTAGTATTTCGCTATTCGCACATTGGCGAGTAGCAAGTATAGTTGGAGGGTACGATAGTCAAAGACGACTGTTCTAATCAATATAAACGTGACGACATGGAGAAATTGGTTTTTAGTATAAGTATGGAGAGCAAAACAAAAGATATAAAAGATCACAAAATCCAAATTAATGGAATCAGGCCAGAGGTAATAAACATCTTAGAAAACCAGGCTACCAGGGTAGATCAGCCAGCCCAAGCTCCTCTCTAGCCACATATTATAATTCCACGGTAGAGAAAAATCCTCCGATCCAAGTTAATGAATGAGCTGAAGTGTACCAAGACGGCGCCCTAGTGCGATCCAGACGTGAGATCCACCGAGAGGGCCATCGCCATGTCCACATCTCGCGTGGCATACAAACCACACAAAAAGGGAATCCAGAAAGTGAGCGCTGAGGCCCAATGCTGCGAGAATAAGTTCAGACTAAATTAATCAAATCCAATACGGAGTACTCCGTAGTATGAATCAACGACAGGGGTCCTAAGGCCCCAAGACCTCATTTGGGTTTGGTAGATTTGACATTGCAACCGATGCCTTCATCCCATGATGATTCGCTCGGTGGGATCTGGATCGGATCGGTGCTGATAATGAACTGTGGGGGCAAGGCTTTATAGGCGTATCAGAGCCCTGACATAACGCCAATGCTTTATTAATCCTGTGGGATATACTTTTCTGTGTCTAGCGTTAAGACAACTCGCATAATGGGGTGGTATTAACCATGGAAACTCGGTTCCTAGACGGAGTCTCCGAGATTGTTTTTCTTTGTACTCCATATAATATAAAGAGTTGTAATTTGTTGTTCTATTTAGATTAATTATCGGAGCCTCGGACCAAGCTAACAAGCGAGTTCAGCTGCACCTCAGCTGCAGTCAGAAGGGGTAAAGTTAGAGGTCCACTTGGATGTTCATTTACACCTCTCTTACTTCGTATAATTAAGTACATAATAAAGTATACTACAATAGTACTCTACATAGACCGTTCTTCGGGATATTTTAAAGATATTGATCCATCACATTAGCTTTGGCCAACACGAACACCACCGAGAGCCAAAAGGAATAGCAATCCAGAGACCGGGATGTGCCTCTGGACTGCATGGCTTGGGAGTTCATATTCTACGAAAGCCATTATAGGATGCCAATTAATTAATTAAATTGCCTCGGCAAGAAGGAAACGAGAAAAAAGATCGAAGAGTGGGCCACAGAGTCCCACATTGTTGAATACGTGCATATTTACGTAGTAGATTAAATTCCCGGATAGAAGCGCGTGTCCCTGAGGGCGTTCTGGCTTTTCGTTTTGCCGGATGAATCACAGAAATTGAAATAAAAGAAGGTTTGTCCAAAGATAAAAGTTATGATCGGTGTTGTCTTCGAGTCCACTCAGATCGGAGCATCGGCTCGGGACACTATCTTGGTGTCGAACGCCTCTTTGCCCACTTTGAAGGTTTTTCTTTGGCGCCTTATGTATAGTGGATAGGTTCTAAATGATAACCTTGGTATTCCAAACATAGTGGTTATGATGCGTAAAATAAGATAGATAAAAAAGGCAATTCTTGCAAAATCTTAGGTGCACAGTGGCTTCATAGTGGCTTTGGCCATAGTCAGATATAAGCCGTTTGTGCAAGGTTTGGTATAGATCAGTTCTGTCTCTTCAACATTCTCTCTTAAGGTTCTCTCTCTCTCGCGTACTCTTACTGGAATTACTTGATGAGGAAAGTCAAAATGGAAACCAAGGTAGACTTGTCATTGAAGCATAAAAAGCGCCCTACGTTGTATCTATCAACTGCACTTCCAGGGCTACCTCTTCATCTCGATCTGACGTTGCTTCCAGTCCTTCTCCAGAATAGCCATATTCACTTCATCCCACCATTCGCCGTCCTTGAAAAGGCATTCCTTCCTTGTTCCCTCTTTCTGAAACCTGAACTTCTCACACAACTTCCCCACTCGCATATTCCACGATGGAAGGTTCATCTCCACCCGGTGTAGACCGGCACTGTCAAACGCCCAGTTCAGTGCCCGCTCGACTGCCTCGGTTTCGTGATATTGGTACTCCGTTAAAATGCCGATTCCTAGCTCGGAGCATCGGTGGTGGGCCATATCTCGATGAGGTGACTCCAAGAAAAGTGTACCGATAGGTTCGATTTCCTTGTAGATAATCACGAACAAATTTGAGTTCCTTTGGAGGTGTTTGGCAACGCGGGAGGTGAATTTGATGTCCATCGGTCGTGGGGTGAATGCGCAGAAGTTGATGATTGAAGATGAGTACTCCTGAATGGAATTGAAGAACAAATCATGTTGTCTAGCATTGTAACCGACAAATTCAAGATTCTCAGGCTGGAAGGCATCCGAGCGGGCTGTGCCTTGGTCACTGCTCGAATCACTACCCATACTTGAAGTGAGTGATGATATGGTATCGAAGTAGGCTGGGGATGTGAAGGGATATGGTAAATGGAAAGACGATGGAAAAGCTACAAAATTCACAGTTTATATAGGCAGCTATTGAACTATTTGTCGTCCGGCAGACACACCTGGGCAAATATTTCTCTCAGCACTTCAAATCTGTGCCATGCAGTTCAAACCTCTTAACACTTTTCCTATGGCTGTCTACCCTTCATGGCTATACTTAGGCATAGGTAAGCTTCTCCTGCCATTTTCTCACTCAAACTTCCTCTTAATAATGCCGAAGATACATGTTGTCGAAATATGAACCAATTAACGTTCGATATTCAAATGGGAATGGGGCATATACTAACTACTATAGCACTCAAGTGTTCCGCATATTGGACATCAATGCTGTTCTACGGTCGTTCTATATAGAAACTGTGGGGAATTTCACTGCAGGTTGATGCAGGTAATCTGTCGATCGGGCTGCATGCAACCTGTAGGACAGAACTGTGTACAAATGCACACTTTCCTTTTTCCAACTCTAAACCAAAGTTCCGGGTCATCCTTCTTTCTTCATTTATGTAGAATTCCCACTCAAGCCCGTACATAATTAGAAGCGAACAGGTCTATATTCCAGGCAGAGGTTCGTGGAACGGCATGTATTCAGTATTCAATTAGATCGCCCATCCCTCCAAAAAAAAAAGATCATACATGAATGGTATGAAGAATCACGAATCTCAATTTCCAAATCTAAAGGATAGCCTTGAGACCAGCCTGGATGGCAGGGGGGTTAGCACCCTTGACCTCCTGCTTGCGCTCACCACCCTTGTAGAAGTGGAAGGTAGGCATAGCAGAGACACCGTTCTCAGCAGCGACCTGGGCGAGTTCGTCGACATCGACCTTGTAGAACTGGACGCCGGTGTGCTCCTCACTGAGCTTCTCGAGGAGAGGGGAGACGGCCTTGCAGGGACCGCACCAAGTGGCAAAGAAGTCAACGATGACCGGGCCGGTGGCCGAAGTGACCTTTTCCTTGTACTCAGCCTCGCTGGACAAGTGTTAGCTGGGGTGCCTATAATGTTTCTGAGGTGACCACGAGTGTGTAGAACATGCTTCCGCAATTCAGACACAGAAGCGACAGCGGGAATATGAGAGTATAGTCGGACTTACGACTTGATAGCAGTGACACCCATTTTGAGAGAAGAAGGCGTGAAGCGCGGGATAGGTGTGGAAGAAAAGGGTCGGAAAGCGGTGCGCTGGACAGGAGTGGATCGATTGAGTAACGATGAAACTCCGGAGATGGTTCTGGAGGTAGAACGAAGATATGAAGGCTTGAACTGGAGTGGATATAAGTATCTCGATTGGAGGGGTAGAGTGAGGGGCGTTGGGTTTTTATAGGGCCATGACGTTCGCCTGGGCCAGCAGAGGCGATTAGGTAAGACGGCTGAATAATGGGTCGGAGCTGGCCCGGGGTCTGATCCGGAAATGTCTGGAGCTTGCTGGGGGTTTGACTGGGATTCTTCCAAGGGAAGATTTCAATTGGGACTTACCATAGTGAGATTTGTCAGTACTTTTCGTTGTATTCTGTACTGATATTAATGGGATAGAGAGGTGAAGCTTACAGGATGACGTGCTCCCGACCTCCGGACTGAGCTCGGGTCGCTTACGAATAAGATGGAGTCTGGACTGTCAGCATTTCCCGGCCTTGGCACTATTCGGCGAGTTTTCCTTACTACTATATGACCTAAGAAGAAGAGATAGAAGTCCTTCTTTCAAGTCAAGAAAGAATTTTCCTTATCGTCAAAATCGGGACGTGGATGCGCTCGTGCGAAAGTTAGAATTTCCCGCGCACCTAGACAGCCCGCTGCGTCGCTTGATGTTTCCACACTCGACAGAGCGGCGGTGGGATCTCGAAATAAGATGGGCAATCACGGTATCTATGATTTATAGAGAAATCTAAGAGCAAGTTCCTAGGTAGCAGCAGCGAAAGACATCGACGCCGAATACTGTCTAATATTATACTGTATAATATTAGAGATACAAAAACCGCCTGTGTAGGTTGCCAGCAACAGCTACTAGGCTTTACTAAATATATTCAATGGGGATCTCAACAATGGCATCCTGATAACTAGATCTCAATGTATGATAAACACTGATCGAGGAAATTGCAATCATCAGTAAATTTCCAAAAGAATGTCTCATGAATATCAGCAATGGAAGAAGGGTAGGTCAAAAGAGCCAGAAGCCGCCAAGTATGTGCAACGAAGGAAAGCGCTCGAAGGGGAATAAGAATTTATCATCTTGGTTATGTATTCAACAGGAATAAAAAGGAATAGAATTTATGCATATGGTAAAGATAAAACATGGGGCGACGAGGGGGTATCAACAGATCGAATGAGAACGAGTTCGCAAGGGCAATAATTGGATACAGGGCGATGGGGATATCAGAATCGTACAGATGGCCAGAGGGTAAATCGAAGGCTCATGGATGGATATTTTGACAAAGGAAAAGTGACAAAGGAAAGTGACAAAGGGAAGGGTCGAAAGACCTCAGTGGCAGATTTGCCTGAGTCAAGGTGATGCTCGATGGGCCAGTGGTACCCGCATGACACGCCATGACAGAGATAAATGAGCTAATGCTAAATGCTAGATCCAGTTTGACTGCTGTTAGATGGCGATCACTCATACCCAGTCTATTCAGCATAACCAATCTCGGCTTTCGCGCTGGGGATCCGCTGCAGTTCCGAAGGAGTCGTCTCCTCCATAACGTGATCTTCCTCTGCGGAGATGGGGGTCAATGAGGGGAACCCTCTGAGCATTGCTTGTGTAGACTTGGGACGGACTACCGGGTTCACCACAACAGCGCGGCGACCGACTTCGTTGTGCCATTTTTCAGCAGGCTTGCTTGCTGAGCTTTCTGTGGCTTCCGGTTCGAGCTCTGGCTCGCCGAGGATATTGTTGCTAAGACGGCGGGATTCATCGAGTGATTCAACTTCTTCCGGGGCATCTGCCGGGCCATCCACTGAGTCTCGGCCAAATGAGTTCAAATTTGATCGAACGGGACTGCTGGGCTTCTGTGACATCCGACGGAAAAACTGGCCTGACATCCAAGATCCCTCAGAATCAATGGAAGCCAGAGACTGGGAAAGTGGCACGTTATCGGCCTCGGTGTCCATACTATCCGAAACCCACGACCGATGATGGCTTCGGTTCGGGTTCTTGATGTCCACACCGAGGCTAGGTGTGGGTTCACGCAAGGAAGTCTCATCCCTCTCGAGAGGGGACTCCAGAACCTCCTCCGGGATATCTGGGGACTGAAGGCGGGAATCAGGAGGCGACAGGGGTTCGTCGCCAAAGTGTTCAGTGAACTTGGATTGAGAGCGCTTCACGGTTCCAGTGGGCATCAAAATTCTCTGAGGGATAACCGAGGGCGGAGGGGGTGATGATTGGGTCTGAATTTTGTAGAAAGATTCATGCGAGGCGTTGGAAATTTCGGGAGTAGTGTCATGGAATCGCTCTTTGTACGTCCGCTTGAGACGAGAAGAACCACGTCTGAACAGGGACGTAATAGTGTTCCCCCGGCGACCGCTGGTGTCGGAAAGTCGGCGTTCTGAGTCCACTCCTCTAGAGATGTCAGAGGTGGAGCTGGGTCCACAGACTTGCGAATGGGTTGGACTATTCAGCCCATGTCGAAGTGATGAATGAGATGGGGAAAGAGTAGTCCGGGACATGGTAATGTCGTGTGATGGGGCGAAGCTAGGACGTTGAACCAATCTCCGCTCACGAATGGAACTATCATCAATATTTCCAACTACGCGGGAGCTTTCCCGCGATTCGCGTCCAGCGATCTCACTGCCCTTGGAAGCTCTTTGCAACCACGATTCATTCTCCGGTGCGACAACCGTTGGTTCATCAACTTGAGGGGCGGTGGTCTCTTCGTTCGGAACAACGTCTTCGGGTTCAGCTACTCCAGCGATAGACGGCTCTAGTTGGGCAATTTCGTTTTCCGGTTCGGGCTCGGGCTCGGGCTCGGTGGCGACCTGGACTTTTTGTTCTTGCGCCTGCTGAGCATCAGCCCTCTCCTGCAGCTTACGCCGAAGTCTTTCTTGGTCGTCGACCTGTTTCTTCTCCCGGCGGCGACGGTCGCGATCCAACAGCTCTCTCAAAGCCCCCGCATCTAATGAATCAGCGAGCTCATTTACTCGTCGTTTAGAATAGTAGAAATCGTCTTCAGACATGGTCAGGGCCTGGAGCCTCTCTTTGTCGTGTCGGCTGGAAGCAGGCGGGTTACCGCTTCTGGCGGTCTGCAGGCGAGGGGCTTCGACGTAACGAACGACGGGGCGTGGAGTCAAGGCAGCAAAAGCGTTGACCTTGTAGGTGTATGGGTCAGAGATGTCAGACGTGGAAGAAGTGGCGGAGTCGCGGATAGAGAGGCTGATGTCAGACATGTAGCGGTCGGCACGTCTACCATTTGCCTTTCGGCGGCGATGTTCCAGTACATAATCTCCGCTGCCAGGAGTCGATCGATAGGGGATATCAATAGGGGTGGACGAGAGCATACGAATTTCACGCTCGCGCATGATCTCATTCGCTTTGCGCTTGCTCAGCTTTCGTCGTAGTTTGTTCGGGGCATTTCCATTTTGGCTTGGTTTGCGCCTCAGCAGCGAGCCTGTCCTCGTGAGTGGAGGGTCGCGTTGTGGGGGGTTCCGTGGATGATCGACAATGGAAGCAGGGCGGTCTAGAGATGAGATAGGTCGATTTGATGGCACAAGGGCCGAGCTGCGCCGGCTGTCTGCAGCATCCGCCCGTGACGTGCGGTTGCTTTGGCGTTTGGATGGTTTGCGGCCCAATGTAGGCTCGACGATCGGTTCAGCAAACGAGGAATGAAGATCAGCAGCTTCGGCACCGGTCACTTGGATGGTGTGCCGCTTGCTCTTGCGATTAAAGGGCCATATCGCCATGGCGCTTTGGGGGCACGAGCCCAGGGACAAGTGGGATCAGTTATCGGTATCAGTGCGGTGGCGCGACAGTTTGACTAAACTCATGGAGGATGGAAAGGAGAGTTGAAGAAAGCGACTGGGAGTCAGGGTGACACAGTCATCGAGAGTCTGGGTAGCAGAAGGAAGTTGAAAGGTTGAAAGGTTGAAAGTTCTATCAGAGGGAAAGAGAGAGGAAGAAGAGAAAGAGGAAGGAGAAAGGAAAATCGAAAAGACAAGAAGAGCCGGAAAAGAAAATAGGAAAGGGCAATCAGAGAAGGGCCTTGTTTTTTTTGTTTTTCTGTCTTTTTGGCCTGAAAAATAAGAGAAAGACTTGGCATTTGCTTTTTCTATTTTAAATTTTACTATTGTGTTTTATAAGTATACACATATTCTAACTATATTCTATCTGTTCCAAGGTTCTATATTTCTATATTTCTATTACAGTTGCACCGGTACCTGGTACCTTGGCCCTAAGTTGTAGACAATCTCGTTTAAAAACTCTCTCGTCACACAGAGAGAGTCTAGATTCCTTTTTGGAAATTGGCAGTTGACCTGTGGGGAGAGAGATATCCACTGTGGACTCCATAATGACGCAGTGTTATAAATATACACATCCCTTTAGTTAGTATATTATTGATACCCTCTACAACATTGCATAGATAATGGGTATATATGTATATAATGGATCTAATATAATATCTCGGAAATGAAGTAATATTGGCCTTGACCCTGTACAACCCAAGTCCCATGCATGTTCACCCTCGTGCCCTCTCGGGAAAGCCGTTTAAACGCCCGGTGGGGGCCAGGCTGACTTTGGTAGCCTTTCGTTGGGTTTGACACGCGGGAATGGAGTCGATCTTACGCACTTCGACCACACTTGGGCCTATGGGATCGTCGATTTTTGAAAGTTTCTGCAGTTTTCAAACTATTGTGACAACCTGCAGGGACGATATGTAAATTAGTATTGTAAGGGGAAGGATATCGTGCACACGCTTGAATAGAGAAATGATCGGCGAATTTCATTGATGGGGTTGTCTTAGTTTCTTCTATAACCCTGGAGGATTGTAATTTATTACTAATTCTGTTATTGATGCTAGTTAGTTAACGTTATTGTGTATTGTCTTTCACTTTCTGCCTCTGTTCTATTCAGTATCGTTGATCAAGATGGTCTAGCAAACTAGTATGACGTACGGAATACGGACATACTAATTATATCCCATTGAGAATCCAGCGGGTCGCAAGGTGTCAGCGCTATTATTTGGTTTCGATTCAAGGTAGTTCAGATTATAGATCTAGGGTGTCTAAAGCCACTCCTTGCCTCTATTGCCCTATATTCTATGCATAAAGAATATTGTTATGCGGAGTATTGTATTCCCTACTCTATACAGGTGGTTTCAACTCACCTCATCGTGTTCCATAGATACTCCGTACTCCATACCAACCCCTAACGTGGCTTTACAACATAACCTCCACCCTTCCGGTCTCAGATTGTTCCACCATGGTTCCTGCATTTTGATCGCAACGACCTCAGTTACCTCTAATCTGACAGCGTTCTCCTCACAGAGAACACTATT